CCTCTGTGAGTCTGTTAGATTTGAACAACAGTGGTGTCAATGTAACTAATCGACAGCATAAAAAATAGTTTCCAGATCAGAAAAGTGTTAAGTATGGTACACTTAATGCTCTAGTCCTTTCGTTTTCTTTAGTATTTAGTTGTCTATTTTTGTCTTAACTTACCTCTTTTCACATGTGTGCGTACGTGTGATCTTTTAGAATCATACTGACTATAGTCCACTTTTTCGTCTCTCTATTTTCATTTTGTTTTTCTCTTCTGTCGATTTTATTTCGTTCATCTATTTCTTTCTTGTCGTCTAGTTGTGATCACATCTATATATTGCATCATCTTTAGCTATCTCTATCTATATTTTCTTTTTCCTTTTATGTCACACGTCTTTGTTCTTTTGGATATATATATAAGGTGCACGGAATCCAAACTTCAAGTAAAATTCTTTTTTGACCTTATTATACATATTCGGATTTGCTGTCTTACGCTGGTCGCGAATAAACACCTTCCTAGATTTTAAAATCCTTTCTTGGTGGTTTTTTTCCAAGGGGGAAAGCACGGGATCCTGAAATCCTGAAATTCTATGGAATCTAGTAGAATCCAATGGAATCCGGGATTCAACACTTCTCTCGAAACAGAAGAAAAGTGTTCTATATTTTGAAAAACTTTCCCCAAAACAGAACAAAAATATTCTGTTTTGGGAGAAAGTTCCAGAGAATCCTATGGAATCCGAAGGAATCCTGGGGAATCCTATAGAATCATAGGGAATCCAGGAGAATTCAGAATTCTGTGCTTTCCCCCTTGGTTTTTTCGCCTCTTATGCAGCAAAAAATCAATTTTCTCAGCGAAGAAAGGTATTTTTAATAGCGATATATACTTTTCAAACTTAGCTTCTGGCGAATCGAGCCGTGTGCAAATAGCAGTTCCAGACAATACACAGAAATCTGTGTTAGGTTTGCAAAACTGAGAACCGTTTTTGAGAGGCATACATTTGGAGTCTTGGTGACTAGATGTCCGTTCTGAAACCGTTTAAAGACCTTTTTCTTGTTCAGTTTTGAATACTGAATCAGAAAAATATAAGTTTCGAAGCCTAAAATTAGAGGAAGTCGGAAAAATCGGTGGTTTTCTATAGCGAATGTTTTTGAGGTTTTCCAAAGCATTCCAGTATTTCGCGGTTTTCTCCATCAAGAAAGGGCTTTTAGAATCTGGGAAGGTGTTATTCCTGACCAGCTTGAGACGATGAATTTAAATATGTATAACAAAGTCCAAAAAGGTTTCACTTGAAATTTGAATTTCGTGCATCTTAAGAAAGCATACATTTTGTTACAGTTAATTCGAGTGCATTTTGCACACAGAGTTAGTAAGTCAGCAGACCACTTAGTGGCCTCCTTACTTCTTGTTACTCCTACATATGTATTTTTTCGTCATTATTCTTAACTATACTACATAAATTGGACTGGCACTTTATTTAATTTAGGTTACTAACCTGAGGGAGTTTTCTTGTCGGGCTTAACTAAAGAACCCGGGATTAACGATCACTAGAAGTCAAGAGGAAAATAACTGATGACAAAAAGATTCGTGAGTATGGGCCAAAAGAAAAGTGTTTTTCGAATTATATATCCCTGTTATGTCAGCTATACTGACATAGTCATACATTCTTCTTCTTTTCTCTTTTCATGTTCTAGTGAAAGAATGTTGTGAGTCAACATTCTTTCATCATCTGTTATCGTCTCATGACCACTAAGAATGTTGACTCAGTTCTCGTTGAGTCAATATTCTTTCATCATTTATATATAGTGTTTGTTTGTACACACTGGGAAGAGGTTTTTTGTTTTGATTTGTTTGTGATTTTATTCTTCAAATAAAATCCAGTGACAGCCTAGCAAATGCTGCACTAACTGGCGTGCTTCCCATTTCATCATGGCATTATAAGTATGAATGGAGCACGTTAATTTAGTATCGATTAACACAATACTAAAAGATTTACCCGGATTGGGATATGTGGAGACACTGTAATTCCGGTCGATGCTGAGAAACGTAATAAAATTTAGTGGCACAAACAATGAAAATTTAAATGATTAATTCTCAATCACAAATTCCGTGCATGTGAAGCAACAGACGACCAATGTCGAAAGTGGATACCACTATTTTTCTGTGGTGATGCACTAAAGTGGCACAACCAACAAGGATCTAAGATCGATTCCTGAAGTGATTATCAAAACACACGAGTTTGTTATCACCAAAACCATCGGAGAATATTGGTGTATTAGATGAACTAGTTGTAAATACTATATCCGTTCGAAATGAATTACGCCAATTCATCAGTTTCATTCTCAACATGAACGTGACTATCTATTATCTAAAGACGGCTATTATATACCTGATTTAAATGATACAACTGATTTATCATCATTAAATGACATTCATACAAACACAGCAGCTAATTTCGTTTGGCCAGTAGGCACGGAAGTATGGCATACATACGAAAGAAGAGAACAACGTCAGTTATCTGTTTTATTAAGAATAAGTTTAGAAGTTTCGCAACAAGCTGATATTATTACCGAAGAGCGAACAGAAAGTGTACTATCTCACTCGCAACCAGAAAACGCACTGGAAAATATTCTTCGCACTGTACAAGATTCATCGATATTGTTTCTTACAAATCGAAATTTAGTCCCTTTACAATATCCTTATTCATCAGTTAGGGAAAAGGAATCTGCTGAAAAGTCTACCAGTACTCTATCGCCGTTCTCGCCAATTCGCGTCGCGTTGCCATCATTTGTAGTAGCAATCCTACATACTTTATCGCTATTGTCATCTGCAGCACATTATCGATATCATTTTTCGGTCCATGGGAACGTGATATAAAAACAATACAGCTTCATAGTGTATCGAAACTTTGGCACTTTCTCGTACCCCAGTCAGTCATTGTATGAACCGGACTCCCACCGACTTTTTGGCATATCGATTTCTTCACGGCTATGTCATAGCATTATCTTATTGATCCGCTATTCACTTCGTTTTCTGTGATGAGCCAGGAGGCTCATCTTTTTTGGGTGCTGGGTGTGTTATGCTAGCTATATATCTCTTTTCATGTTCTAGTGAAAGAATGTTGTGAGTCAACATTCTTTCATCATTTATATATAGTGTTTGTTTGTACACACTGGGGAGAGCATTTTTGGTTTGATGTTTGTGATTTTATTCTTCGAATAAAATCCAGTGACAGGCTGGCAATCCCTTCAAGGATCATTCAATATATCAAGATACATATGTGAAAAGGTTTTAAGAAGTACTAAGCAGGGTTGAATTTTAATTACGGCGTACAGTTTGAATTTTTCTTTCACCAAAGTTATTATAACTCTGTTAAAACTTGTTTTAGTAGTTCTGAAAACCTTTTCACATGCTTTAAATTGATGAGCTCTTGAAACTAGATAGGTCATCTGTTCAGTGGAAAGTTTTTGATGGATGGCTCGGGGATTCGAACTTGATACACCAACCAAAGAAAGGTTCAATCACTGAAGCGGTTATTAGATTCGTGATCAGCACCAGAAATGACTCTTAATTATCCATGTTTAATTAGGAAAGTTTTTAATCTCCGGGGAAGATTCTCTCATCGAAAAAATGAAACTATATTTTAAAAAGCTGTTTCTTTAACCGTTTTCTGAAAATCTAAATTAAGCACTTTATTGTGTTTTATTTTCTTTCAACTGGGGCCATCGATGGGAATACTGTATCAGAGTTCGTGCATATTCAGTAAACAGTTTTAGTAAAAACGCGGTCAGAGGTTTCTTGTAATGGTATTTGTTTATGAAAAGCCTATTCTTCAAGAAAACTTGTACACCTGATTGCTTCTTGTCGAATTTGCTCGTACATAGTCTAAGCTATTTTTAAAGAACATAAACATTACCGTGAATAAAATTTCCTTTCTGTAGTGTACGTTTTAACTCTGAATAACAAAGAAATCAAATTTATTTAGTCACAGGTAAAGGCAAAAAAAAAATATTTTCAGGTAAACCGACGAAAAAACAGAAAGAATCTTTGCTAGAAAAGAACGTTTTTCTTTCTTCAACATTAAATCTCATAGACCAACACCTACCTGCAATTTTTCATTTCGACTTTCTATAACGTATCTTAACTATAAATCTGAAAGTTTATATGTTTGTCCGTCACGCTAAAAACTCGCGAACCGCTTAACGTAGCGAAGTGAAATTTGCCTCAGTTGTAGCGCTGAAAATTTCTAGGTCAACGGTGCTAATTTGAGCTTTCTACGTTTTGTCGTTAATTTGAAGTTGAGCAATTGAAGTTGAGCAAAATAAAAAATTTAATGACTTCAATTTAATAATCGAAGCAATCATTGACTTTAATTTAAGAAATAAAAGCCATAGTAAAAATTATAGTTCAGCAAGTTCAGCTTAACTTTATTATGCTCAAGAAGCGACGAGCTGTTTTTGATCTACCAAGAATTAATTTAAAAAGACAGAAAATATTACGCGAAAATCAATCAGAGGAAGTTAAAGCAGCTGTTCGAGAAGCGAACCAAATTCAACATGCTGCAAGACGGAGTAAAGCGACTGCTGAGGAAACGGAGGAACGTCGAAGATCTGCACTTCTGCGAGCAGCAAACTCAAGAGATATAGAAACCGATGAACAGCGAATGCAGCGGATAGAAAGCAATTCAATTGCCCAACAGAACAGACTTCCAACTGAAACAGTTCAAGCTCGCCAGGATCGACTTCAGCAGCAGAGAGTGCGACAAGGTACGTTTCGAACAAGCAACTGGATGTACATGAAAGACGAAGCATTTAATTATGACCCTGATTTAAACTATTCCAACTTCCCTC